TAGTAACTAGTCCCGATCGGAGAGAAGGCTCGTACGAGCCGGTAATCACCCAATTGGGTCCCGTCGACGTCGTGCAGTCCTCCAAGACTCTCCCAATATCCCCTTCGAACTCTTGCCATACCAATGTATCCAGGAGGCCCGCAAGGTTTTGTTTGAGGACAGGGAGGAAAAACTCAAACAAATAGAAACGGAGCGCGGTCGGATAGCGAGACTACGTGCTGCCGACCCTTCAACTGTGGGAGGTGAACTTCGAAAGAATAATCGCCTGAGGAGCATGGAGAAGCACTTGGAGTACCTGAAAATCATGGCTGACATTAATGACCCCGTGATTAAAAAACGATTTGAAGATGGTCTAGGTATGTTTGAACGGTGGAAGTCCTATAATTCTACAACGGAAACTAATGATCGATCAACCAGGTGACATGAATCGGCCGATTTATCGATACCTTGCTGATCAAAAATGGAGGGAATATAGACGGAAGATCATCGTTCAGCGTATAACCCAGATGAAAGTGATCCCAGATGTCCTCCCTCACCTGGATCCCATTGTCGATGTGAAATTGGCTTTCGGAAGACGAGCAATACCTCCTGGGGAATTCGTAGATTCTCGAGTCAGCTCGATGCCGGCGAAGCTAAACGTCCAGACCTTTGAGCATGGTGAGAAACTGTTGACCGTCGCCGTTGTGGATTTGGATGTTCCTGATCCTGAACACGACTCTTTCGGTTTCCGTTGCCATTTCCTGGCAATTAACGTGCCTATCTCCCCGACTGAGTCAAGGATTTCCTTGGACAAACTGTCAACGGACAACCAAGTTATCTTCCCTTGGCTTCCACCGTATGCTCAGAAGGGAAGTCCGTACCATCGGCTCTCTATCGTTATTCTAGAGCAAAAAGATCAAGCCGCCTTGGATTTGAAACAGGTGGCAGAGAAAGTGCAACGGGACGACTTCCGTCTACGAAGCCTCCAGACACGACACCAGCTCAAACCAATTGGGGTGCATCTTTTCAGAAGCAAATGGGATGAAAACACAGAATCCGTCATGAAGGAGTTTGGTATTCCAGGAGCCGAGATTGAGTTCCGCAGAAAGAGAATTGAGCCACTACCGTACAAGAGGAGGAACCCTTCCTCATTTAGATAGACTCTGGCGCCCTTCGTTTCCATTTCTGGCATGTTTCATAGGAATTGTTACAATATATTGCACATTAGAGATTTACAGTATAGTTAGGTTTTATTCATACGCACAAAATAGGGGGAAAACAAGCCAGCCATAGTGCCAACTCCATTTCTGGGAGGCTTGGGAACCAAATCACAATAATTCCAGATTTATACACGTACTTTCTCTCAGTCGTCGGAAAACTTGGCAGGTTCTAATGTATTTCGCACCCACCTAGGAAACGAATTGGCTTTTCCCTTTGCAATGACTTTACCCATTACTAACCCCAATGGGAGTGGCCCATGAAATCTCGAGTCCCTTGACCAAGGCAAATTATCGCCAATGACCCAGATATGGCCTTCTGGTACCTACAGTAAAGTACACTGTCAAGTCAGTGAAGAAGTGTTCAGTTTATCCAAGAAACAAATGTTTTGGATAAGATGGGGAAAGGTAAAGGAGAAAGAAACAGCTTCTAACCCGTATCATCTCCGCATCCTCATCCCCAGTCGCATCATCGCCGACTGATGGCGCATTCTTCAGCACAAAATCACCAGGCATTCCCAGCACCCGCTTGGTCGCCGTCCGTCCTCGAAAAAGTGGATTCTTGAACATGACGAGATCCCCCACCTCGACCCCTTTCCCGTGCTTGTGGAGCTTGGACACGAGGAGCCATTCACCCCGGAAATTTATGGATGGGTACATGGAGGGGCCGGAGCACGCCTGGTATGAATAGCAGTGCTCATTGAAGAGTTTCCAGCCGCCGGTAATGGCCACCGCAGCTAAGACGGTAGGGACCGTCCGCTGTTTCAGGGCGGTCAGTATGCGGCCATTCATCAGGGCGTTCTTTGGTGGCTTGCTCGCGTCCTAAGTTGTTGAAATGAACACTCGAAGCCGGAAAGCTTTCCAAGGTTGATGGAGTTTATCACGTGATGATTAGTGGGTAAATGCTTTTTCCTTCTCCGCACATTTAGAACCAAAATTTAATTTCTTGCACTCGTTCTTGCTTCTACTTCTTTTTGCTTTTAGTTCTCGTGAAAACAACCCGCGATTGAAGCTAATTCCTGGTCCATGTCGCATTTATATGAACACCGATTCACATATATATGCCAGAATCGAGATAAAATGACAACAATTTCACCCCATTTCTCATACCGGCCGACAATTCCTTCGAGCCATCCCCTTAGTATTAGTAGCCTTGGAGCTGCATACTCGTATTGAATGCCATATAATTAGGGGTGATTTTCCTCCCAGCATCAACTATTCACTGCCTGATCCAAAGGAATTAGACCCTTTAAACACTCTTAACAATGAGTTCTAGCCACTTGAATAATTGTCCCTCCCGTGACCCAAGGACGCTTCTAAAAATGCTAGAGCTTGCCGTTTCCAACCTTAGACGAGTGAGTGTGGACAGTGAAGCAAAATCATATCTATACGTCTCCTTTACACGCTATGAAGAATGGCTGAGATATCCCTGAACATCTATCTTAACTTCTGATCCATTTCAGTATGGATGGTGAGAAGGTTCAAGAGGTGTGGGTGGGAGACATTCCTTTTACATCAAGACAAACACATGTTTTTCTATCATTCTTTTATTTGATGCTGTCTTTAGTTCCAGAAAGCCTTGAATTGAGTGGCAAGCATTCTCTCTTTGTCTATGATTATCTCTAAGTAATGGTCTGTTGGTGAGATCAACATAACTATCGTTTAGCTGCCTTGAGATGCTATGTTGCGGCATTATATCTTCACATTTGAATTGGCATCTAAACGCATGGAAACGGTAAGGTTTAACTGCTATCCAAGAACAAGCAACGAACTTGAGCGGTGTCGGAAGAAAAACATACTCGGATAAAATATAAAAGCCTTTACTAAAATCTGTCCTCTCCTCCAGGTTCTCATCGAGATTGTTCCCAAATTTCTATTTATAGTTTTCCTTCAATTTCTCTTTCCCTCTACTTTCCAGAGGACTTGTTCGTGCTCCGGCAGCTTTTCGAAGAGCTTTGGGTTAAATGAAAATACTCAATGTCGACGAGACGGGTTCCAGGCTGACGAGAATGATAGATGATACCATTGTCTCATGTCTAGGGCCACCCCGACCATGGTTAGGACACGGCCCACGCCCCCCTTTAAATTTTCCCCACACGCTTTCCTCTTAC